CCCCCCCCCCCCAGCCGAGTTCTACTCCCTACCTATTTAGGGCAACATAGGGAAATGGTACTCGACACACTTGTGTGTCGGTGCCTTTCCCTGTGTTGTTCCTGTTCTAGTCTATCCTACCCGGGCGGTCTAAGACTAAAGTCCCGCTCCCTAGCTACTGCACTTAATTCATCTCTGCTAAGTAATCGGTAACTCTAGAGTGCTAGGTATTCAGACACACACATGTACACACACATGGACATACAGCCCCTCCCTGCCCCCCCCGCTTTCCTTCTTGCGCTTTTCGTCGTTTGTTGGGCTTTCTTTCAGGCTTTTTAGGTTGCTCTTGAGGCTCGTTTCCCTACCCCAGTCAAGGGCTAAGTATTCACTTTTCTACACCTACCTTTCTTTCTTGCCCTCTTAGCGCTGCTCTTTCTGTCTTTCTTTTCTTTTGTTTCTAAGGCTTTTTAGGTGACTATTCAGGTCTTTCACATGCGCGCCGCGAAGCGGCACCGTGTGTGTGTCAAACCCTGTTTCCAAGGGTCTAATTTTAATTTAAAGCAGGGGGACAGAGCTCTCTGATGCTACTCTGTCCAACGAAGCTAGGCATCAGAGAGGGAAGCATCCACTGGCCATGGATGTGTACCTGCTTTAACGGTTGAACAAGCTGTCCAATTGACCTTGTTTGTTTTCATGGTTCTTCATGATACTCCCCCTAAACCTTCCCACCGCGTTCTTGCAACTGAGCCGCGCGTTTTCGTGAGCGTTTCGTTTTCGTGCTATCTGCAGACTTCAAACCATTTTGTTCAAACATCTACAAGTTTTGCGGACTCTTCACCTTACCGTTCTTCACCTTCCTTCCCAACGTGGCAATTGAGTTAACTGAAAACCAATGTCAGAGTGTGTGTGTGCATGCGCGTGCGACCGAGGTTTGATAATACAACAGAGAACATGCCAGAAATCCAACAGATGGGTTAGTACCAAGATGTCTTTCCAGCAAACGTCCAAGAAGAACGATTTTGGTATGTTGTCTTTGGCCCCTAGAAAGGCGCCTCAGTCGAAGATGTTCCCCAGGAAATCTGGAAAACCTGCCTACGGGGCTGCAAGAAAGGACACTGCCATTCGGCTCATGTGCAGCATCCTGCGCCAATAGATTCTTTTCGTACTGTTGAGTCAATTGGTTTCCCTGATCCGACAGCACTCCACTGTTTTGCGCCCTAAATTCTACACCACACCCCGCAAGTATCATAAAGACTTCACATGATTTTAACATATTTTAACATACATGTACCAAGACACATCTTCCTGCCGAAGCATAGGTCAATAGTCAAAATGGGTTCTTTTCGCGAAACCATGTTCGTCCCGTTTCGCAGCATGACAACCCCGGTGACAACCCCAGTGACTCGCCTGGCCAGACTTTGGGAGCTGGATGGCCGTTGGCCCATCGACGAAGCGGTGCGGGGCGTCGGGCTTCGTTGTTCTCGGCGTCGTTTTGACGGCGTGGTCAGGGGTGTGGCGGTTGGGAGGTCTGCAGATTCCGGTCGGATGAACATCAGAGATAGACGATCTCCCAGTCTGGGACTGCTCATTCAGATGTTAATTCTTATCAGGGTGAAGTGGTGAGGCGCATAGTATTGTGACCCAAACACGCACACACAGAAGAGGTTCGAGATGAAAAATTCAAAACACACAAAATAATCAACGTAAAAACAAACACAAAAAACAAACCTAGACTCAGCCCAAAACCAGAACTCAAGACCAAACACAAAAACACACTCAACTGGAGACTCAAGTAGCAGAAGGTTGAACGGAGGGAAAAAAACACAAATCCGGACTCAGCAACAGAGACTTTGAGTCTGGATTTGAGTCAGTCTGTTTTTTTTGAGTCTGGATTTGAGTCTGGGTTTGAGTCTGGATTTGAGTTTTGTTTTGTTTTTTTTTGAGTCCTGTCCTAGGTAGACCTGTTCTCCTGAGTATGGATTTGTTTTTCCTGTTTTTTTTGTTATTTTTTCAAGGATTTTGGCTTTGGCTCTGTGTGTTGAGTTCGGGTTCACAAGCATAGTAGGTAGGACAAGCTGCGTGGGCGGTTCTTGCCCTGCATGAACCTTATGTGTAGCACCTGTTTTTTGTAGCGAAGGAAGCTTCAGGTCGTGTGCACACACCGGCGCCTTAGGCGCACCTTCTCCCACACCGCCATGGCACGACCGGCATCTTTGCTGGTCCTCCTGCTCTCAGCTCACCTCACGTTCGTGGCTTTGCGACGACGACCCGCTCAGCTGCGAAGCTGGCGGAAGGCCACTGAGGACCCCTGGCGCGAGGCCTATGACGCCGAGCTGCGACGGAACGAGCTGCTGCTGGAGCAGCTGGGGGAGGAGGTGGAACTGCCAGAGGTATGCGAGGCGACCCGGTGAGTGGAGGGGGTGGGAGAAGCTGCACCTGGTGGGGTGGTTTGAGGGTTGACAGCAGTGGAGATGAGAGACGAACACAGGTTCTGAATGGGTGGAGTGGTTTGGAGCTAAACAACATGTATGTTTGCATTGTTTGGAGGGAGGATGAGTGAGGAATAAGATTGTGGATTAATATTAGTTGTTACTTGGACATGTTTGAACAAGCAACACACCAAGTCATCAACCATATATCAGTTAGCAGTGGAAGATAGTGGAGGACTCGGACCTACGAAACCTCCATGGCTGACAAATCCAGGTCGAAATTGCCTATTGTCTCTATATTATTATTCGATGTTCCGCCTTGTTTTAGAAACCGTTACAGAATATTAAGCGGTTGTGTGTTTGTGTTTTTTGGTGGGCAACACACACTGATACTTAAATATATACTTGATATTGTTGTTCATCAACCCCAAATCTGCAGTTCTTCCAAGTTCAGTCTAATCATTCCAGGGTGTACCCATGGGATATGCTGCAGTGTACGTTTACGCATGCTCATTTTGTAGCTTTAAACTGATGACATACCATTGCATCCTTTCCTTTGGCAGTTTGAATGACTTGACACCAGTGTAGATCAGCCTAGGACCTAGGATGCCCTTCCGGTCAGTGTGGCAGGCATTAATTGATAATGCTGTATTGCCAAAGGTTCCAAAGGAGTGCTATTCATGGAGGATATATAGGGGTGCCCTTGTCACATCCACTCACTGGATGCGACTAAGCGAAGCGCCACCCCCTTGTGACTCCTGGTATATAAGTTGATCTATACGTTGTGTGCATGTCTATGCACCTCAGACAGGTGGATTGGAAGGAGAGCTATGAGACCCTTGTCGATGCAGAGCTTGGCAGCCTCGTTTTGTTGTTCTTCCTGGAAAACTCTTGAAAACCAGTCGCCGACTGGTTTCCAAAGCTGGCGGGTGTGACTAGCAGGGGAATTCCCCCTGCTAGCTTTTTGTGTCTTTTGATGTCTTTTGTATTCCTTTGTTCCGTCCTCCCATCTTTCCTTTCCAGCCATTGGGCTCTCATATGTTCATATGTTCCAGGCCTAAAATGTTTTGAGCCTGAAATCTAAGGAAGCTGTCCGATTGCAACCGACAGATCGAAGAGGTGCTGCGGCTGCAGTCCCGCAATGCAGACGAGTCCGCCCAGGCGGGTGGAGGGCGCAGCGGCTCGGCGAGTCTGAGACTGCGAGAGTGTGGAAGAAGTGTGGAAGGTTTGCATGTTCTTTGTGTGTCGAAAAGAGTGGAACACAGATGTTACACTGTTACACAGATGTTATGATGTTGCCGTATGAGATCTGTTTTTTGCTTTGAAGGATGGCTGCGGTGTTCAGAAAAAGGGAAGGCCGCCAAGGCCCGGTGAAAGGGCCATGTCTTTTGCGACCCAGTGGTGTTTTATGAAGTGCTATGCTTGTTGCCGCCCATTGCCCCGCACCCCCATTGGGAAAAAACAAATAGAAAGACCACGAAACACCTCATATCTCCACATGGAAAGAACAATATATATATATATATACACCATATGGTGTATACACCATTATACATGATACACATTCGTATACCGCCACATACCGCCACCAGCAAGCCAGCCTGTCACCGTGGAGCCGCTGGCCTTCGAAGTTCTCCTGCCTTCGACCGGTGCCACCGAGCGGGTGGAAATCGTCGGCTTCCGCCCCACGCGCCTTGGACGGTTTGGCCAGCATGTGGATCCGCTTGGATCGGGGTGAAGGTAGGGATCAAAATACACCCAGCGGATCGGAGTATGAGGTATATATATAAACATGTTTCAGGTCTGGCAGGCTTGGGTGAACATGTATTCATTACTGCCATAGGTTTGAACCAACGAATGTTTTGGCTCAAGTGACTTGGCCAAAATAGCGTTTGTTCTCTCTTTTTGAGGGCGGAACCCTTGGAGAGACAGTTCTTTTTTGTGCAGGGAGGGACCCTGTTTTCCCATGAGCGAGTTGGGAACAAGCCTTGCTGCCTACACCAGGTACCAGGTGATCCATGCCGCCGCGTGGATGGAGTTCAGCGCCCACCTTCAGGAGCTGGTTGCTGAGGGGCGCGAGCGGGAAGCTTTGCGCCTCTGGGCCTCCGTGGTGGAGTTGGTGCATCTGGGGTCTCCAGGGCAACCCCTCTCCATCGCTGGGTTCCCCCCGGTTCGTCGGTTCGTATGTACCACCATTCCGTGTGCGAGGTGCACCGACCGTCGGGGCGGCTTCCAGTTCCCATGGGTGGGCGTATGGAACCGCCGCTGCTTGCTGGTTCAAGAGGGACTTGGGCCAGCGGTCGCGTGGCAGCGCTACCATGCCTCTGCGGCGCGCTTGGACCGCCTGGCGCTGCAGTGGATTGCATTCGACCTGGGCCCGTTGGACATCTTGCCGGTCCACGTTGGTTTGGCCGTGGAGCGGCTGGACGACGGGGACGATGGCATCGACACCGAGGAGTTCTTCGAGCTGGTTCGGCTTTGGCAGCAGGGGCGGCGGCCATGGCGGGAACCATGGTCGTCCCTGGTTGGGACCCCAGGTATCCCCCGGGAAGTCGCGAATGCAGGCCGATCCATCCGTGCGATCCTCGGGGCCGTGGCCTATGACGTTGAGTACATCCCCCCCCTCCGCCTCCTTTGTCGCCTGCCCACGTTCGAGTCTTGTCGAGTCTGTCGATCGATCGTTTGTGAAAGCTGCAACTTCTGGTCACGGCAGTGCCCGTTGTGCATCGACAGTTCTGGCTCAGACTAGTGCGATAGTCCTTGCAGGGCTCATGGCTGACAGGGGGCGTTATGCGGTCGAGTCAGCGGGGAGCTCCAGGTGGGACCCGGAGACCTCGTCTGAAGTGGCCCAAGCAGCCCGTGTTCGCGAGTTCAGGGAGCAATACCACCTCTTGGACGACGCGGACTTTGCCTTCGCCTTTCGATCAGCGGAAGAGGCCTTGCTGGCCGGGGGCCGGGGATTGGCCGATGCTTGGACCAAGGCCCGCTCCGAGCAGACTGAGGAGCTGATGCCGTTGGCGGCCTCTACAGTGGAAGCTGGCTCGAGTCGCGACAGGCCGGCACCTGCTCTTCACCTACCCGCTCCTCCAGTGCCTGTTCAGAAGGGAGTGACCCTTTCTCAACAAGCCTTCAGTGCTGACAGTGTGAACAGGCGAGTGGAAGCGCTGGCCAAGGTGTTTGAGGACGCCGGGATTCATCGCCCTTCCGTGGGGAACCTCTCAGATGCGATCCTAGCGGAGTGGAAACTGCAACTCACTCGATTGGCGCAGGTCAAAGTGACCAAATCTGAACCTCAGACAGTGGTGAACGCTGTGCGCACGTGGTCGGAATTGGTCAGCTTTATGCGCTCTCGAGACAGGACTACGATCGAGCATTTGGATTTGGCGTCATTCCTGGCCTCCGGCTCCAAAGGACCCAAGCGGGCATTGAACTCGCTTCGCTGGTTGAATAAACTGGGGCATTTGGGGTGGCAGTTGGATGCGATCGTGCTGGATCCACCTGCCTCACGGCGGGCAGCTGCGCGATCCCAGGCTCTCGTTGTCGAGCCGCCCATGCTTACTCACTTGGAGCGTGGCATCAAGGAGGCCTTCACCCGACAGGACCCTCGCTGGACTGCGATGTTGGGGAGTTGGATCGTTGGCGTAGGGGTACTACGCTACCGGCATGTCCAACGTGCTCAGATGGTGCGATTGTCCCGCTCGACGCTGTACTGCCATTGCCCCAAAGGGAAGCAGGCGAGCAAACGTGATGGCTTCGATTTCTCCATCCCATCGCAGTTCACAGATGGCTGGCCCTGGGCAGAGCATGTGGTGGCCCTTCGGAACCAGTTGCCCGAGGCCCAATGAGATTCAGGCGGCCTCTGCTTCAATCGGGAGGGCCGCGCGTGGGACATCTCTGAGGTGCAAGCCGCAGGTCGTGAGCTGTTCCAGGACCTTGTGACCGACGTGGCCGACCTCTCCACCTACTCATGGCGCCGGCTCATGCACACGGTGGCGTTGCTGGCCAAGTACACCCCGGTTGAGATGG